GCATTCCTGTGGCAACGTGGCCCCCGGAAGGGTCTTGTGTCCTCTCGCGTGTCCTCTCCAATCAAGTCCGACTGTAGCTTTAAGTCGGGCCTGTCCCTCTACAGGAGGAGTATCCAAAATAGTCCAAACATAGTCTGGGGACAATTTTAAAACTATGTTTGACCATTTTTGAGTATGTGTTGACTATGTTTTATTTGTCGTCCAAAATTCCCCTGTAGGGGGACATGCCCGACCTACACGTAGCCCGAATCCTGCACCAACTGCCTTGTGGATGACAGTGCGAGTGGGAGGGCTCCTGTCAGGGCTCGCGCTCCTGCTTTTCTCTCTCTGCCGCCCCCTCCCATTCTGGTTCTGCCTCGAGTGCACTGGCCGTCAGATCCCTGGGGTTTACGCCACACCGCCGGCCCCTTCTGGGAAACTGGCAGTTGTTGCGTGCTGCTCCTGAGGGCCTCTTGTGCGCCTTTGGGGGGCTTCATGGAGCTCTTTTGGGGTTTCATGGGGGCCTCTTGGGGGCCTTTTCGGGGCCTCTTGGGCTGACATTCTCAGCATTCGCCGTGCACGCATGGGGAATGGTTCGAGTACCTGCGCATACAGACCGAGGACATCTGTCAAAACACCTGACGAATGATTATCGAATGCTTGGGTTGCAGGTCTGAGGCTGCTCGGATGGCTGATGGGGTCTCATGGGAGGCGTCTTGGAGGCAGTGTTTCCCAAATCTCCTGCGTTGAGTACCCGTTTTGAATCGAACACTGCCCGCGCGTCTTCTCCTTCTCCTGCCGCCCTCCTCTCCTCTTCTCTCCCGCCTCTCACCTCGCTCCTTCCTGCGTGCCAGCTTGCCGACTACCTGGCCATCCCTGGGGGGTCTGCGATCTGCGAAACGGTCGCCAGTTTCGAGGGCTGTAGGGGGCCCAGCGGAGTGACGTCTTACCCAGACCACCGAGAGACCTCGCCCTCCCAGTGGGGCTGCGATCTGCGAAACGGTCGCCACATTCGAGGGCTGCTGGGGGGCCCAGCGGAGAGACGTCTTACCCCGATTCAGATGGGAGACCTCGCCGTCCATGTCGGGCTGCGATCTGCGAAACGGTCGGCTCTCGAGGGCTGCGACCACCAGGAGGCCTCGACCTCCCCGGGGCCCAGCGCAGTGACGCCCTTTTCTGTAACCTGGGACTTGTTTCGAGGTCCGGGGTCATGAGGAGTCCCGGCAGGGATGCAGGGAAGCGGCGGGGGAGGACAGGCGGAGGAGAAGGAGGAGGAGGCGGAAGAGGAGGAAGGTGAAGACGAGGTGGAGGAAGGAGGAGGAGGAGGAGGAGGAGGAGGAGGAGGAGTAGTAAGAGGAGGAGGAGGAGGAGGAGGAGGAAGAGGAGGAGGAGCAGGAGGAGCAGGAGGAGGAGGAGGAGGAGGAGGAGCAGGAGGAGGAGGAGGAGGAGGAGGAGGAGGAGGAGCTGGGGGAGGAGGTCTGGCACGTGCCGCCGCGGCGGCGCCAGCGCGGTTCTTGCACTAACCAGCAGCAGGTGTAATCATAGGCAGCGATGCATCTTTAGAGCACTACGGACAAAGGCAACACTCTTCGGTCTCCTTCCGTCACTGTCGTCGTCGTCCTCTGCCCCTTGCCACCTTGCCTCTGCTGCTGCCGCGCTGACGGTTCGGCCCCCCGCGCGTCCTTCTCCTGCCCTTCGTTCTCGCCCCTATGTCTTCCTTAAGCCTGGGCCATCGCTCCTCGTCCCTTTGTTGTTGTTTGGTGAATCGTGCTACGTGAGCGCATCCCATGTAGCTTGCACGACATCTGGCGGCGCCTGAACTGTTATTGTCTTGGCAAATTTGGGCCAAGTCCCATTGTCACTTGATGCAAATGGGTTGGGTACGTCACAGGGTAACGGGCTCGCGTGGGGGAACGGGCGGACAAAAACACGTATGCAGACGGAGGGCATCGTTCAAAACACCCGACGAATGATTATCGAATGGCCTTCGGCACATTCGCCACCGTGCCTGGGTTGCGGGTCTGAGGCCGCTCGGATGGCTGATAGGGGTCTCGTGAGAGGCGTTTCGGGGGCGTTTTGGATGCAGTTTTTGAACCTTTTGGGGGCCTCCTGGGGGCCTCTTGGGAGCTTTTTGCGGCCATCTTGGGGCTGCCTGGGGGCATGTTGGGTTTTTTGGGGCAGTCTGGAGGCGGAGGCGTGTTGGGGTTGGTGACTCGATATGTTCTTTCGGGTTCCCCTCAGCCCCCTCTTGGGGCTGCCTTGTGACCCTCCTGGGCCGTTTGGGGGGCTTCTTGGGCCGTCTTGGGGCCCTCTTGGGTGGTCTTGGGGCCCTCTTGGGGGCCTCTTGGCCTATCTTGGGGCGAACTTGAAGGCCTCTTGGGCCCTTTGGGACGTTGTGAACGCCCAAGAGGCGAATGTGCTAAAAATGCACACGCCCCCCCGGGCGCGTGCACCCACCTCCCGGGGGACCCCCCCCTCGAAAGGACCGGGCTCCCAGGGGAGGGGTCTGGGGAGGGGGAAACATGTCACACGCCGATGAACCCCAAGGGGTCGGCGGATTTACTTTTTGTCTGGCTGCCCACGTGCAACTTTTGGGGGCCAGGGGCCACCTATCCGGGAGCTTTCGCGAAGACCCATGCTCATTACAGATACGTGTTGTGTCGACTTGGTTTCGGGTGATCGCCCCCAGATTTTGGAAGTGGCGCGTTGTTCTCGCTCGCCGCGCAGCTTCCCCCTCGGCAGGATGATGGAATAACGAGCGCATCACAATGTTATGTTTGCGCGGGTTTGTCATCATGGCTCCGATTCCGCTGCCAGTTCCACTGCTAAAGATTTCGTTCGGGCACCCGCCCACGTGATCACAGGGACAGGACTGACCCTTTTCTGTCAGCTCGGCTGGGGCCTGGCACTCCTCGATTCTCGTTCGCTCGCTCGCCGCGCAACGTCTCCCTCGGCAGGACCCTGGATCTAAAGAGCGCATCCCACTCGTCCTCCCCTTCTTTCGTTGCCCTGTTTCCGTCCTCTCCCTCCCTCCTCCTCCCTCGTCCCTCCTCCTCGTCCCTCCTCGTCCTCGTCCCTCCTCCTCGTCCCTCCCTCGTCCCTCTTGTCCCTCCCTCCTCCCCTCGTCCCTCCTCGTCCTCCTCCCTCCTCCCCTCTCGTCCTCCCGCCCCTCCCTCCTCGTCCTCCCCTTCGCTCGTCGACCTCTGTCCGTCCTCCCCCTGCGCTCCTGTCTCTTCTCCTCCTCCTCCTCCTCCTCCTCCTCCTCCTCCTCCTCCTCCTCCTCCTCCGTCTCTTCCTCATGCTTCGTTCTCTCTTCCCTCGCACCGACCCCCTGGGTAGTGCACTTCCTCCTCCTCCTCCTCCTTCTCCTCCTCCTCCTCCTCCTCCTCCTTCTCCTCCTCCTCCTTCTCCTTCTCCCATTGCTCCTCCTCCTCCTCTTCCTCCTCATCCTCCTAATCCTGCACTTTTTTTGACAGCAACTACCATGCCTCAGAGAGCTCCCGAGACCTCGCCCAGCGACAAGAACATGCCGAACACGAAGGAGGACACGTGGAGCACATAGCGAGACACCTCTAGGAGTACGCCAGCAGAAGGCATTCCTGGAGAAATTGCAAAGAAAATCGCCAGCAACGATGACACTGGATAGAGCACAACCCCATGAAGTGGAGAACGACTTGATCTTCGCGGCAGCCACATACAATGATAATCATCTGCACCAGGAAGCCCCGAACGAAGAAAAAAATGCCAAAGACGCACTGCAACACCATAGCAGAAGCACAAAATCCAGAACACCGAAGCGGACGATATACCAGAATTTGAAAGAACACCCACTTGAAAGACGTACCAATGCAGAGTATAGCTCAGCAGAACGAAAACAGTTGCCCTTCACCTGGATCAGGAGGCAGATGAACGGGAACCCATACGGCAGCCAATCGATCCTGATCATCATCTTCTTCGAGGCGGCGATCCCAATCCTTGGACTCCGAGCCTGCAGCCACGGGCCCCACGTCAGAGAGCGGCGGCAATCCAGCCTCGGCCTCGGACCGCGAGACAAGCTCGGCGTCAGAGGAAAAGGCAGGCTTGGCGTAGGGCGGCGCGTCGGGCACCACGTGGGGCTCCGCGTCGGACGAGCAGGCAACGGCGTCGGACGGGGAGTCGGGCTCGACGTGGCCACCAGCAACAGCCTCGCCAGTCGCAAGCAGCGAGGCTAGGCGAAGGCCCGCCTGGAAGCCGTCCCCGAAGGCACCCGCCAAGGCCTCAGGCGGCAGCCACGCACCAGGCGCCAGGGCCATCGGTTGCTGCTCACTTGCAAACTCGAACCTGTGCATGAGAGCGTCGACATCGCCTGGATCAGCCACACTCGGCCCCGCCTGGGCCCCCAGGCGCGGGCCAGCAGCCGCCATGGCGATCTCGCCGTCGGACGCCAGCTCGAAGCCGCACGTTGGGGCCATTGCAGCGTGCCATGCGGCGTTGCGGCGCCTGCGAGCACTGCCAGCAACCCGCTGGCCAGCGGCCGCACACTGGAGGGCTGGACGGGAGGCACGCTCCCGATCCTGCCACGAGCCTGGGGAGTATGGCCCCAACTCCTTGCGGCACCGCGCCTCCAGCGCCGCGAGACGCCTGCGGCGGGCCGCACGGCGCGCAGCCGTGGGCCCGAGGATGATGATCTCGTACTCCCGCATGTCCTTGGGCCGCCATGCACCGGGCAGCCCCCCGCAGCCACTGCCGTCAGCCCGCGCCGCCATCGACCGGAAAAGGCTATGGCGAAACGGGGAGAAACAGCTTGAGCCAAAATGGCTACGGAGCCTAATCCTGCACCTCATCCTCTTCCTCCTCTTCCTCCTCTTCCTCCCATTTCTCCTCCTCCCTCCTCCTCCTCCTCCTCCTCCTCCTCCTCCTCCTCCTCCTCCTCCTCCTCCCCTTACTTCCTCCCCTCCTCCCCTTCCTCCCCGTCCCTTCCTCTCCTCCTCCCCTTCCCCCCACGCGCCAGGGGCGCGGCGCGAGCGCCACCCGCCCGGCAGGCCCGGGCGCAGAAGACCAAGCAGGCCGTGGTGGAGGCGGCGGTCGAGATCGCCAGGACGCGCGCGCGGGCTTCCCGGGTCGGCCCGGGGGGGGTCGTTCTCGGGGCTCCCTCGGGGGCCTCCCCTACTGGGTTGACCGTGGGGTGTTCTAAGTGGACAGGGGGGTTACAAGTGGATGCCAAGGTGGGTTATATCTGGCCCAACCTGGCTTATAAGTTGGTTACAAGTGCCCCGAGTGGCTTAGGCGGGTTGGGTATCTCCGCTAAGTGGGCGCCGCCCACTTAGCCCGGATCGTTAACCCCCCTAAGCCACTGGGGGCACTTGTAACCCGCATGCGGGCGGCGGCGCTGGGGCCTTCGGTGGAGCTCCATATGGGGCCACGGGTTGAACCGAATTTGGGTGTGCGTGACGCATGCGGGCGGTGGCACTGGGGCATTCGGTGGAGCTCCCTACGGGGCCACGAAACATGTGAGGGGTTTGCCGAATTGGGTGTGCATGGCGCATGCGGGCGGTGGCGCTGGGGCCTTCGGCGCAGCTCCCTGTGGGGCAACGAAACGTGTGATGGGTGTGCCGAATTGGGTGTGCGTGACACATGCGGGCGGTGGCATTTGGGCCTTCGGCGGAGCTCTCTATAGGGCCACGAAGCGTGTAAGCGGTGTGCCGAATTTGGATGTGTGTGACGCATGCGGGCGGTGGCACTGGGGCATTCGGTGGAGCTCCCTTTGGGGCCACGAAGCGTGTGAGGGGTGTGCCGATTTGCGTGTGCGTGACGCATGCGGGCGGTGACACTGGGGCCTTCGGTGGAGTTCCCTATTGGGCCACGCAGCGTGATAGGAGAGCCGAATTGGGCGTGCGTGACGCATGCGGGCGGCGGCACTGGGGCCTTCGGTGGAGCTCCCTTTGGGGCCACGAAACGTGTGAGGGGTGTGCCGAAATGGGTGTGCTTGACGCATGCGGGCGGTGGCACTGGGGCATTCGGTGGAGCTCCCTTTGGGGCCACGAAGCGTGTGAGGGGTTTGCCGAATTGGGCGTGCGTGACGCATGCGGGCGGTAGCACTGGGACCTTCGCTGGAGCTCCCTGTGGGGCCACGAAGCGTCGTATTGGGTGGGCGAAACGCAGAGAGGAGGGAGGGGGAGGAGGGAGGAGGCGGGAGCAGAACGCACGGCGCCGTCTTTTCAAAACGAGGACCAACACCACAGGATGGTTGGGAAAAATCAGGGCGGAGGTTTTTGTCCGTTTTCGGCCTCTGGATGCCCTCGCCGGGCCCTGGGACCGTGAAACAACGACGCAGGATGAAAAAGCGGCCCCGGGGAAAGGGTCGGGACTCGCGGGGACGCCGTATTGGAAAGATCAGGACGTCGCATGTCTGGATACCCTGGGTGGGATATTAATCGAGGGTTGAGCGACTAGCCTTCCGACGGGGCTTGCCCATCCCCACCCCCCTCCTCCGCCACCTTCTCCTCCTCCTTCTCCTCCTCCTCCTCCTCCTCATCCTCCTCCCCCTCCTCCTTTTCCTCCTCCTCCTCCTCCTCCTCCTCCTCCTCCCTCCTCCCTCCTCCTCCTCCTCCTCCTCCTCCTCCTCCTCCCCCTCTCCTCCTCCTCCTCCTCCTCATCCTCCTCTCCCCTCCTCCTCCTCCTCCTCCTCCTCCTCCTCCCCCTCCTCCTTCTCCTCCTCCTTCAATCCCACCTCCACCCGTTCCGACAGCACGTGCCCAACCCCCCAAACGGATCCAGGGGGGGGGGGGGGGGGATTATGGCCACATCCAGAGTAGGAGGAGTGGGGCCAGGGGGAAGGGCGGCCTAACCAACCCCTGCAAACCATCCACTTCCGTGACGTCCACCTCGCCTCGCCCCAAGACGTATGCACCGGGAAGCTTTAATCAGTGGAGTGGGCCGGCCTGGGCCGGGTCTGAAATCACGGGTCTGGTCTGACTAGCAGACGCATGATGTCGGATTAAACGAACTGATTGCAGCACTGGCTGGAATCTGTGACTCCTCGTCTGGGGCGATGGCCAGAGTGTAATTAGTGTTTTTGTCGCTGGCCCGCCGGTTTTTCCATTAGACCCAATCTGCGATCATTCTTCATTGATTCCTGCTTGCTGGTATGCGGCTGGAGGGAAGCTCGAAAGGCAAGGATGACGTCACAGAAGGGGATGGCTTGCTAGGGTTAAGTCGGGCCTGTCCCTCTACAGGAGGAATCTTCAAAAATGGTCAAAGCATAGTCTGAGGACAATTTGTTTAGTATGGTTTTTTGCCATTTTGGAATATTATTTGATTATTAATTGTTCCTCGAAGATCGGCCTGTAGGGGGACAGGCCCGACCAAATGCCAGGGGTCGGTTAGGCCGCGCCCGACAGGGGGAGGGGAGGAGGCTCCGAAATTGAGCATCGAGCCTTATGATGTTCCAACCTACTTCAGCCTTGACCACCGAGAAGAGCTTCGAGCACCAAGCAAGTACCGAAACTGGGATGTTTGGCGCGTCGGGCCCCGGGAGGCGACGCTCGTTGGACACCGTTTCGATGCTTCTCTGGGTGCTCGAGGTTGCTTTTTGGATGTGGCCCTGACGTGCGATGGGAGCAGCCTGCATCGAGCCCTGCCTGCCCCGACCCCCGGTGGCCCAGGCGCCCAGGCGGGGTTGGTCTGCTGCCCGTCGCCGGCCGCGCCCCGATTTTTTTTATTCCCGGGGGCCCGAGGGTGCCCCGCGCTGCTGGCCGAAGTCGAGGACTCGCGTGCGCAGGGTGTGCACGTGGCTCCATCTCTGAGTCTTCGAGAGTTCTTTGGCTCTTTGGGGGGCCAAGATCTCCTCCCTCCTAACTGTTCTATCCTGGGCCTCTTCCTGGCCACTAGGGGGGCCAGGAACAGTCTGAAGCGCTAGCGCGCACAACTAGCACTAGACACGAGTAGAAACGAACGACGTGGTTGCTGGACGTCCCGACTCTTGGAGCTGTGAGCAGGACGATGCGGAAGAAGGAGAGACAGAAATCGATCGCTGGAGGATGCTGGAGGCACGCCGAAGGTCTCGGGGGCCACCAGAGTCTGTAATCATGCTGGCGCCAGTCGTTCGTATTCATCTGGGGCTCAAGTCGTTCAGCTTCAAGCCATTCAAACCCAAGCCATCTTGCGAGGGGCCTGCTTTGCACCTGAACCTCAAGTCGTCGAAGTATAATTGTTGAAGGGGTTATGCATGGCATCGAGGAGTCGTGTCCTCGGGCTGTAGTTAGCTTGGGAATCAGTGTGTTGGATTACGCTGTGAGCTTGGCATGCTTTCCGGAGCCTGACTCAAAGCAGGTTGCACTTGGTCAGAAGGTTAGTGGTGGAGGAAACGCAGCGAATGTAGCAGTAGCGTGCAGCAGATTGGGGGTATGTGCGCGCCTGCTGAGCAAAGTGGCAGACGACGCGCCGGGTCGCACGATCCTCGCTGAGTTGGAGTCCGAAGGTGTAGATTGCCGCGGAGTGCAAATTTGCAGGGGTGGAGGCAGCACTGTGACGTGTTTTGTGATGGTTGTGGACTGCACTCGTACGATCCTTTCCATGCCCCATGCGCAGCGGGTGTCTGACCTTGAGCCTGATTGGGTCGACCGACATTTTCAAGTCGACGCTGGCGATTCGGACCTCCTTGCAGGTGCTGGCATTTTGCAGCTTGATGGGCGCCATCCCCGAGCTGGTGCCAGAGCCGCCCAGGTTGCACGAGAGCGTGGTGTGCCAGTCTTGGTGGAGGCGGAGCTGCGCAATTCCCCAGGCTTGACTGATCAAGAGACCGAGTTCCATTTCCGAGCGCTTATTTCCCAAGCAGACTACGTCGTCACAAGCGAGGACTTCCCGCATGATCAATTTTGCAACCGGTGTGAGCAGGACACAGAAGGCTTGAGTCCACTTGAAGTCTTGGAGCTCTCCGTTTACAGCATGATGGAGTGTTCCGCACCCCTGGCGCGCTGCATTGTGGTCACGCTTGGGGCTAGTGGCTGCCTTGCGGTGGAGCGTTGTCAAGATCAATCGGGTTCTGTGGGTGGTTTTCAAATGCGCACTCATAAGATACCCGCATTCCCCATTGTCAACGTGGTGGATACCACAGGCGCTGGGGACGCATTCATCGGTGGACTTGCTGCATCTTTGGCCAGAGGCCTGCCGATGCTGGCATCATTGAAAGTGGCTTCATGGGTTGGGGCAATGAACTGCGCGGGGCAACCGGGAGCTCGGGGTGGAATGCCGAGGGCGATTCAAATGCCGTCTGAGATCAAGGAGTGTTGGGATGCAGTTGCGGCCAGCAGCTGACTCGCGGAGGATGGTTAGACAGGCAGATCCTTGCAGTGCGCACCCGTTCAGCCTCTTGGATTTGGACGGACACCCGGGGCGAGGGGTCGGTCGAGCTGTGGATTGCCCGTTGTCTCATACCGACCGAGCTAACAATTGGGGCGAATGCGCTGCTCGGTGGCCAGGCAGGCAGATCCTTGCAGTGGGCACCCGTTCATCTTCGTGGATTTGGACGGACACCCGAGGCGAGCGCTCGGTCGAGCTGTGGATTGCCCGTTGTCTGAGGGGGGAAATGAGAGGGAGACGGCCTTCTTAGAAGGCTCGGAAATCTTCTGCCTTTGAGCAGTTTTCTGAGCCTTCCCCGAATACACAGAAAACTGTCCAGAAGACGCGACGGCTTCTGAGAAGTCCCGCCGCCTTCTGCGAAGGCCTTCTCCCTCTCACTTCTCCTCGCTCGCCACCGACGCCCGCTCCGCGCAGGCACGGCGGCGGTGCACCTGCATGTCTCGGGCGTCCGCACCTTCGTTGCCCTCCCGTACGGGGACTCGCCTTCTGCGGAAGCCAGAGAGGAAGGCCGGCGGAGCTCGCCAGCGACCTAGGGGCCACTCTGTCGTGCAGCCGAGATTTTCGTTGTTGGATTCCGGGTTCCTGGAGTTTCTGGGGCTGCTCCCATTTTTGGGGATGCAACTCCTGGGAGGTCATGTTCTGATTTTGCCCTGGTCCGAATTCCGGCTTGCTCCGGCCCAATCCCGCTTAATCCGGCTTCATCCCGCTTAATCCGGCCTAGTCCCGATGAGTCCGCGGCTTGATCTCTGGCGTGACCACACCCCAAGGGGGCTCAAGATTCCGTCTGCCTCCCGACGAAGACTTCTCAGCAGTTGCCTCCAAACATTTTTGGGGGCGGTGGATCATCTCGGCCGTGCGCTCGCCGCCTCCCCCCCTCCCCCACGCACACTGGGAGGACCGTGGGGGGTTCTAAGTGCATAGGGGAGTTACACGTGGATGCTAAGGTGGGTTATATCTGGCCCAACCTGGCTTATAAGTGAGTTACAAGCGCCCCGAACGGCTGAGGGGGGATAGATAACTCCGCCAAGTGGGCGGAGCCCACTTAGCCCGGATCGTTACACCCCCTAAGCTACTTAAGGCACCTGTAGCCCACTTATAGGCCAGGTTGGGCCAGATATAACCCACCTTGGGACCTACGTGCAACCCCCCAATCCACTTAGAACCCCCCCCGCGCACAGGAAGCCCGTGGAGGTCCTGAGGGTCGGCGTGCCGGTGCCCCGCCGCGCGCGCGCGCCGCAATCGCCTCCCCGCCGGAAGATGGCGGCGAGGCGCGGGGGGCCAGGCCGCGTCGCGGGGACCCCCAAGCGGGGTGGTGACCACGCCGTGTCCCAGACATGCTCGCGTCGAAAAAAAAATCAGGGCGGGAAGTTTTGGGTTATTTTCGGCCTCAGGGGGCCCTCGCCGGGCCTCGGGGCCGTCCAATAACGATTCAGGACGAAAAACCGGTCCCGGGGAAAGGGTCGGGACTTCCAGGGACGCCGTCCTGAAAAGATCGGGACGTCGCATGTCTGGGGTGGTGAGTCGGTGGGGACCTGGGTCGTTCTTCGAGGATGTCTCGGGCGATTGGGGCCTCCAGGGTCCCAAGACCGTGCGGTGACGGACCGTGCGGTGCGGTCTCTTGGGGTTCCGAGGTCACCACACGGTCTGTCACCACACGGTTTTGGGATCCCCAAATTTCCGGGGGCGGGACTCGAGGGCTCGACTGGCCGCTCGGGGGCTCGATTCCACTCGAGGGCGAGAGACACGTCGGTGTTCGCGGCCTCGCGGGCGCGGGCCCCTGGGCCGCGACCCGGCGTGTGATTCGCAGATGTCCCGCGCGGGACGTATCCGTGCGACCGCGTATCCACGGGATTGCGCCACAGGATTCAGACTGCAAGGGCCTGGATATGGATACGTTGATACGTTCGCCGCGCGTGATCTACAGGGCTGCTTGGATCGATCAGGTGCTCGATGCTCGAGGGAGGACTCGAAGGCCCAACGCAGCGTAGTTCCCAACCATCCTGTGGTGTTGGGTCCTCGTTTTGAAGAGACTGTGCCCCGCGTTCCTCTCCTCTCCTCCTCTTCCCCCTCCTCCCTCCTCCCATCAGCATCATCATCATCATCATCATCATCATCATCATCATCATCATCATCATCATCATCATCATCATCATCATCATCATCATCATCATCATCATCATCATCATCATCATCATCATCATCATCATCATCATCATCATCATCATCATCGTCATCGTCACCCACCATCATCGTCATCATCACCATCATCGTCACACCTCTCACACGTTTCGTGGCCCCATAGGGAGCTCCACCGAAGGCCCCAGTGCTGCCGCCCGCATGCGTCAGCCACACCCAATTCGGCACACCCCTCACACGTTTCGTGGCCCCATAGGGAGCTCCACCGAAGGCCCCAGTGCTGCCGCCCGCATGCGTCAGCCACACCCAATTCGGCACACCCCTCACACGTTTCGTGGCCCCCAGCTCCACCGAAGGCCCCAGTGCTGCCGCCCGCATGCGTCAGCCACACCAATTCGGCACACCCCTCACACGTTTCAGTGTGGCCCCATTAGTGGCCCCCCACCGAAGGCCCCACCGAAGGCCCCCGCACGCCGCCCGCATGCGTCAGCCACACCCAATTCGGCACACCCCTCACACGTTTCGTGGCCCCATAGGGAGCTCCACCGAAGGCCCCAGTGCTGCCGCCCGCATGCGTCAGCCACACCCCATTCGGCACACCCCTCACACGTTTCGTGGCCCCATAGGGAGCTCCACCGAAGGCCCAGTGCTGCCGCCCGCATGCGTCCCCACACCCATTTCGGCACACCCCTCACACGTTTCGTGGCCCCATAGGGAGCTCCACCGAAGGCCCCAGTGCGCCGCCCGCATGCGTCAGCCACACCCAATTCGACACACCCCTCACACGTTTCGTGGCCCCATAGGGAGCTCCACCGAAGGCCCCAGTGCCGCCGCCCGCATGCGTCAGCCACACCCAATTCGGCACACCCCTCACACGTTTCGTGGCCCCATAGGGAGCTCCACCGAAGGCCCCAGTGCTGCCGCCCGCATGCGTCAGCCACACCCAATTCGGCACACCCCTCACACGTTTCGTGGCCCCATAGGGAGCTCCACCGAAGGCCCCAGTGCTGCCGCCCGCATGCGTCAGCCACACCCAATTCGGCACACCCCTCACACGCTTTCGTGGCCCCATAGGGAGCTCCACCGAAGGCCGCAGTGCCGCCGCCCGCATGCGTCAGCCACATCCAATTCGGCACACCCCTCACACGTTTCGTGGCCCCAGCCCGCATGCGTCAGCCACACCCATTTCGGCACACCCCTCACACGTTTCGTGGCCCCATAGGGAGCTCCACCGAAGGCCCCAGTGCCACCGCTCGCATGCGTCCCGCACACCCATTTCGGCACCTCCACCAAACACAGCGTTTCGTGGCCCCACAGGGACCTCCACCGAAGGCCCCAGTGGTGCCGCCCGCATGCGTCACCCCCACCCCAGCACAGCATTTCGTGGCCCCACAGGGAGCTCCACCGAAGGCCCCAGTGGTGCCGCCCGCATGCGCCACCCCCACCCAGCACAGCGTTTCGTGGCCCCATAGGGAGCTCCACCGAAGGCCGCAGTGCCGCCGCCCGCATGCGTCAGCCACGCCCAGTACAGCGTTTCGTGGCCCCACAGGGACCTCCACCGAAGGCCCCAGTGGTGCCGCCCGCATGCGTCACCCCCACCCAGCACAGCGTTTCGTCGCCCCACAGGGAGCTCCACCGACGGCCCCAGTGGTTCCGCCCGCATGCGTCACCCCCGCCCAGTACAGCGTTTCGTGGCCCCACAGGGACCTCCACCGAAGGCCCCAGTGGTGCCGCCCGCATGCGTCACCCCCACCCAGCACAGCGTTTCGTGGCCCCACAGGGAGCTCCACCGAAAGCGGCATCCGCAATGCGATATTCACAACTGCACATGGTTGGGTCCTTCGCCAGGATAATTGTTTTTTTTGACGGGCGCGGTGTATGGATATGTCGTCAGCAACTGGTGGTCGAACATGACGAAGCACTTCCGCTGCGATGTTGTCGAGTCGCCAGCGCTGCTGGGCGCGACCCGCGCGACGCGCGAGAGGTGATCGCCGCGAGGGCCAGGGAGGCCACCGACGCGTTCTCGCAGGCGCCCACCCCCGCCACCTGGACCAGACGAAGCTCCATAAGGGGGAGGGGAAGGAGGAGGAGGAGGAGGAGGAGGAAGAGGAAGAGGAGGAGGAGGAGGGGAGTGATGAAGGAGAGGGATGCTCTATAATGTGTAAAGCGTCTTCGAATTCTTCCTGGCTGCCGGAAGACTCCACGAGAGGCCTCCAGAGTCGTCGTCGAGCAGTGGCATTCGGGGCATCCCAGTGCGCAGGTCGACTCTTTACAGCCTGCGGGCGAGCGCCCCGGACCCAGGCAGAGAGATGAGGACGGGAAGCGGGGCAGCTGTATCTCACCGTAATCGCTTGCACAGAGCCTGCAACGAGCAGAGAGCGCGGAAAAGGACTCGTGCGTCGCCAGCGACCTTGGAAGTCAAAGGGGGCTCAATGGCCCGACTGGGCGTGCGCCAACCCAGGCCAGGGGGAAGGAAAGAAGCAGAGGCGAACGGGGAAAGCAGGGTGGACTGCACTGACCACTCACAGAGAAAGGAGCTAAGAAGCATCTACAGCTCGAGCTCATAGGCCTGAGCGACGACTGACAATCTGAGTGTAGAAACGTTCGATCGAAAGCACAGCGAAGCCGTGCGCAGCCTGCTGCAGACTGATTGAAATGGCAGGGGAACTCGAAGGCCCGACTGGGGTCGTGCGCCAACCCCTGCCTCGTGGGGAAAGGGAAAACAACAGGGTCGAACAGAAGACCGAGTACAGTGGAGGCCCATGCCAAGACACACCCTGCTTGCCTCCAGGGTGCCCTGGGTTTCTTGGGTTTCGACCCCACACCAAGAATCAATGGACGTCCTGGGGTCTCAAGGTTAGATTTCTTGTGGAAGGTTTCTTGTGGACGGGCCCCTACTGTAGAGGATCATACATACCGCGACACACTGCTGTCAATGGCAGAGCAGCGCACGCAGCCTCACAGAGACAAAGCGAGAGACTCGAAATGGCCAACAGACCTGCAAAGCACTTGCAAATACACGAGAGGCGTGGGGGACCAAATGCAAGGGTCCGCGAAAAAACAGTGCAGGAGCACATGTGAGAGATGCGCGCACGATCTAGAGCGCAGCCAAGAGGGCGCGCAAGATGGCTTCAGGAGCGCATCGGCTCCTGATCGGTCCGCCGTGAGTCCTGAACCCTTCCGGGGCCCCCACGCCCCACGCATTGTCCCCCAGAGCAGCTGCTCCACGGCGACGCACGACGACAGCACTAGCGAAGCCACGGTCGAGGTAGCAGTGTTGATGACATGGGCCAGGGCCTTCCGGCATGAGGAACCCCGGCATGGGGAACCCCATCACGAGGGACTCCACGGACGACGAGAATCGACTGGGCGGCGAGAGCACGGACACCAGAAGAAAGTTCTCGAAGAGAGGAGCTGCTCCCGGCGCCTGCCCACGAGCGGCAGGACAAGTGCGCACGCGATCGCGCTAGCCAGGAGCCTGAAGTACAGCACCACGCCAGCTGCAGACCGCCGGCGCCGACAGCTGCAGCACCGTGGTGTCGCACGACACGGGCACCTGCTGGCCGAAGACGTGTGCCTCGCCTCGACCGCGGTGCTTGCGAACTGGCACTGGAGCAGCTCGCGGAGCCCAGCGTAGACTGATGGGTAAGTTGGAGGGGGGAAGGAGGTGGAGGACGAGGAGGAGGAGAACGAAGAGGAGGATGAGGAGGTGGAGGAGGAGCAGGAGAAGGAGGAGGACCCCCTCCCCCTCCAACTTATGGTGGTGGTGGTGGTGGAAAACAGGCCCAGCGTAGACAACAAGTGGGGCGTCTTGGCAGCACGTGCCGTAGCTCACCGACTGCGCGTTGCTGGCCACGAGAGCCTCGAGATTACAGCCGAGGCCACGCCGGAGGAGGGCGCGACTGTGCGGCCCACGGACAGCAGGGGTGCACACAGAGACAGCATCGAGACAAGTTGAAGTCGGGCCTGTCCCTCTACAGGAGGAATATGCAAAAATAGTCGGGACATGGCCTGGGGACGATTTTTTACCATGTTTGATTACTATGATTGCATGTTTGTTGACAATTTGTTTTTTGTTCGTCCAAAGCCCGACTGTAGGAGGACATGCCCGACCCAGAAGCAAGCCGGTCAGAGACGGACCCCATCGCCTCAGGCACGCGGTCGGTCCCAGCCGCAGCCGTGGCGGGCGCGCCAGCGCGCGCAGGGCCGTGGCGCGAAAGGAGGCAGAGGCAAGTGGCGGGCCCCTCGCGCGCGGAGCCCTGGCCCCCAGAGAGGGGGGAGCGAGAGGAGGAGGAAGAGTGGCAAGGCTTGGGGATGCGCTCAGGCAGCCACCATGAAGTTCGGCGGCGAGCGAGGGGGGGAATTGAGAAGTGGTGGGCCTCCTTAGAAGTCTCGGAAGCCCGCCGGCCTCCTGAGAAGTCTGCGAAGCCTTCCCCGAGGACAGGAGGAGCCTCTCAGAAGGCGCGAGGGCTTCTGAGAAGCCCCGCCGCCTTCCGAGAAGGCCTTCTCCTTCTCACCTCCCCCATCGCTCGCCGCCGAAAATCGAGAATCTCGAAGATCCGGCGGCTCTGGAGGACGTATCGGGCGCCGCGGCCTTCTCAAAGCGTTTCGATCTGGACCTTTCTGGAACGGATGTATCCTCGCCCTAGCCCCGTCGGACTCCCAGGCGACATCCTGGACTGACCAGTTGTGCTCGCCGCCCAGAAGTAGTCCAGGCTGGCCTCCACAGGCCCCCCGGGGCCCCCACAGGAGCCCACGGCGGCCTCGGCACTCCCGCGAGGCCCCCCCCGCGGTGTCCCCGGGGCGCTCTCCGCGCCCCGGCTGGGGGGGGGGGTCGGGGCCGCCGGGCGCCCCGGAACCATGCCGGCGTCGGTCTGAGCTCAGCCAGCCCTGCTGCTCCTCCTCCCTCCTCCTCCTCCTCCTCCCCCCTCCCCCTCCTCCCCCTCCTCCTCCCCCTCCTCCCCCTCCTCCTCCTCCTCCTCCTCCTCCTCCTCCTCCTCCTCCTCCTCCTCCTCCTCCTCAGGCACCGAAGACCCGGTGTGCTGGAGCGTGAGCGGCCGGCGCAGGTTGCCGAAGGCGAGGGCACGCCGGGCCGGCACGCACCGCTGCTGCACCGCACGGCCTCGTCACAGTTTCCGTCCTCGTGAGTCCGCGCAGGTGGTGTCTCAAGTCGGGCGTGTCCCTCGGCAGGAGGAGGATTCAAGATTGGTCAAACAATAGTCTTGGGACGATTTTTTGATGATCTGTTTGCCATTTGTTTTTCTGCAATCCGCCTGTGTGGGGACATGCCCGACCTGAAGGTAGTCGGTAACAGGACAACACGGGCACATAACAATTTTCTGGGAAGGATCACGGGCAAAACGAGGAATGCAGAGGCAGACGAAGGAAGGAGAGAAGGAATGCGAGAAGGAGGAGGAAGAGGATGGGTGGAGGGGGGAGGCTGATGGAGGAGGAGGAGGAGAAGGAGGACCAATGGGTGGCAGGAGGACGGGGAAGACGAAGGAGTATCTTCCCCTCAAGCTTCTCTTCCCTCCCCTCCTCTGCGTCTCCTTCGCGGGATGCATGAAACACTTTTTGTTGCGCTCGTCTCCTCCTCCTCTTCTCCTCCTCCTCCTCCTCCTCCTCCTCCTCCTCCCCTTGTTCCGCTCCCCTCCCCTCCCCTCCTCTCCCGTGCACCTGAGCACTTCGCGGGTCCTGGCCACCCCTCCCCTCTTCCCCCAGCACTCCGGCGACCAAGTTGTTTCGAGTCGCCGACCCCCCCCCCCCGGAGCCCTCCCGACCCCTCTCTCCTGGTCTCGGCCTCTCTCTCCCGAGCTGCTTTTCTCGGGCGGCCCTCCCCGCGCCAAAGGTGGTGGGCAGAAGCACACATCCCGTGCGACGACCGTTCGGCACCGACGCGGTGTATTGTTGTTGTTTAGCATATATACTACGAATCATAATAAGAAGAATGATGTTTATGATGATGATGATGCTGATGATGATGATGATGATGATGATGATGATGCTGATGTTGATGTTGATGTTGTTGTTGATGGTGACGATGATGACGATGTTGTTGTCGGTGATGATGTTGATGATGCTGCTGATGCTTATGCTATAATGAAACTAGTATTCGTAAGTCTCATAATACTACTACGTAGGTGTACACGTATATGTTAGATATATTGCATGTGTGCATAGGCATGTGTAAATATAGAGAGAAAGCATAGTCGTACGTACATGTATGAGTAAATAAAAACCGTGCGATGTTTCGACGGCAGACGTAGCGGGCCTTTTGACGAGGCTGAGGAGGTCCTCCGGCCGTCCGAGAAGCTTCCTGAGCCCTCTTCGGCGCCACGAGAGGCCTCTTCCAGAAGTCCCCCCCCCTCCCTCCCTCCCCATCCTCCCTCCCTCCCTGCCTCCCTCCCCGAAGCCCCGTCGGCTTCTGAGAAGGCACGCCCCCTCTCGCCCCTCACTTCCCTCTCGGCGCGCCGCCGAAGATCCGAAGGCCATCGCAACTGTTTCGTAAGGGTTCCGCGAAGACCCAGGCTATCAGTCCCGCCCGCCCAACCTCAAGGGGCCCCAGGACACACAAATAAATACACACAAATAAAATGATCCCCCATATTTTCATATTTCCCATATTTTCCCATATTTTCTTGGGAATCGACGATTAATTGTGTCTGTGTGTTTTTTCCCCTCCTGACAACCCCGCCCCCCAGGATGACCCGACCTAGTCGGCTGCGCAGGTCCGGCGGGGTACGCAGCACTGGTGTCAAGTCGGGCGTGTCCCTCTCTACAGGAGGAGTGTTCAGAAATAGTTCAAAACGAGTCTGGGGATGATCTGTGGACTATTTCTAACCATTTTGGGGCATTGTTTGTTTTTATATTTCGTCTTAAATCCCCCTGTACCTCGGCCGCCACCTCTCATCCCCCACTGGGAACGGTGTGGGCGTTCCTTCAGGAACGTGCCCACGAGGCCTCAGACCTTGGAGGGTTCCTTGTCCGATGAGGTCGGCTGTGGTATCTACGGCTTATCCACGATGGGAGTGTCACCAGCTTCCAGACCTTGGATTCCTTCTCTACTGCTTCCTTATCCGATGCCCTTGCAAGGGGCCCTCGGAGGCCCTGGCGCTGTCGGCGCTGGCAGGTCCCTTGCTTGCTGCTGCAGCTCTGTCTTCGCCGCCCACAGCGGCTGTGATGGGGCATTGCGGGGCAGGCCCGCATGCATGTACTCTCCCTTATCCCTCTCTCTCTCTCTCTCTCCCTCTCTCTGAATTCCTGTTGCTTGACGCATGTGTCGTAACCTAAACGTTCTCACCGCAGCCCTGATTATCTGTCCCGCCCGCTCCCCCCTCCCCCTGGATGGCCTGATCTTGCCAGTTGCGCAGGTGCGAATGGGGCACGCGGTGTTGGTGCGCGCGAGGTTGCGCGGAGCGCGAAGGTTGGATTTTCAGCCGTCAGTTACGCGCCGGTCGTTGGAAGTCGGGTGTGTTGGACTCCCAGGTCCCAATCAATTTCAAACGCGTTCCTGCTTTAAGAATCGACATGCTTGTGCTGCGTCGTGTGATTCTCTGGCAGGGCCTTGACCCAATCTCCTTGATCCGCCTTCCTACTTCATGCTTGTATATATGTACATGCCTATACGACCAGCCTGCGGGTGATAAGTGTGAAGGTAAAGAAAGGCAGTGGGGAGGCTCAACAAGTGGTTCCCCCAAGAGGTTGTTAATCAAATAATTTCCTAATTTCTCTTAGGTATATTGATGTGGCTTCGGTATTTTTACGTGTGTGATTTCTGCACATAAGATCAGTTGTTCGAATTGTTCTTCATGTGTTTCTGTACATCAGATTCAGAATTCTTATTTGTATGAGAAGTGTACAGCGTCTGTAAAATAGACAGCGGCACTGTGGACCGAATAAGTCATGGGGGGAACCAACATCGGACTCAATCGATCTCACTATCGACCTCACTCAACGGGACACCACGGGACACCACGGGAGACCACGGGACCATTCGGGGCACCACATCGCTCCCAGTATCAATATCATTATCGATCTCACTATCGATCTCGTTATCGATCTCACTATCGATCTCACTCAACGGGACACCACGGGACACCTTGTCGATCTCACTCACTTTTTGGGACACCGCGGGACACCTCGGGGCACCACATCGATCTCAGTATCGATCTCACTAACGGTCTCAGTATGGATCTCACTATCGATCTCACTACCTATCTCACTCAACGGGACACCACGGGACACTTGTCGATCTCACTATCGATCTCACTTTTTGGGACACCGCGGGACACCTCGGGGCACCACATCGATCTCAGTATCGATCTCACTAACGGTCTCAGTATGGATCTCACTATCGATCTCACTACCTATCTCACTCAACGGGACACCACGGGACACACGGGACACCTGTCGATCTCACTATCGATTCCATTTTTTGGGACACCAAGGGACACCTCGGGCACCACATCGACCTCAGTATCGATCTCACTATCGATCTCACTATATCACTATCGATCTCACTCAACGGGACACCACGGGACACCACGGGACACAACGGGACACCGCGGGCCACCGCCGGACGGACGGACTGACGGAGGAGTAACATTTGCGTTGACTTCGCCCTAGCAGCGGCGGGTTCATTCCTGTCGCGCGCCCACGCAGCTTCGCCTCGCCCGCACGCACGACACTAACGAAACGAAACGTTTTCCCGGTTGGGGGTGTCCGTCCCTTTGCGATCTCACCCCCCAGCGTCCGATACATAGATAGATAGATAGATAGATAGATAGATAGATAGATAGATCGATATATATATATATATATATAGATAGATATTGTTACCTATTTGTCCGGCCCACGTGTACGGTAGGGCTTTCGTTAAGGAGTGAGCCGGCGAGGCTTCAGACCCTGGAGGATTCCTTCACTGATGCGGGCGGCGGTAATATCCATGGCCAGGCCGCGATTGGCGTCCCGCTGGCTCCTGGGCCCTGGGCCCCTTATCCACAAGGGTTCTTTCTCCGGTGCCCTCGCCCTGCTGATGTGCGCGGGCCTGCGCGGGGCTGCCCAGAGCGAGCAGGTTGTTAATCATCGGCCGCCGCCTTCTCTGTGCCCCAACTTTGCACAGCTGCACCGGGCCCCCCCCCCTTAGCCGCCTGGCCGGCGATCGTGGTCAGGTCACGGCGCCGTGGGTCGGCGTCGGGCGCCGGGGGATGGCTGGCCGAAATGCCGGCGATGCGGCACTTCGACCGTGGATAAAAAAAGCATCGGATAGCTCAGATATCGGCGAAAAACAGAAGACGGCCGCCTGTTCCGCCTCCCGAGGAGGAGCCCTCCCGCGACAGACGCATCGTGGGCTCGAGGCGCGCGCGCGTGCGCGGCTCTCGCGGCTCGGGCGCCCCCAGGGCACGGCCCCTCCCAGGCGACACCCCTCTTATGCCGCTGCCAGTGCCGTGGCCGCCGCCGCCGTCGCCGCGCCCGCCGCCGCCACCGCCACCGACGTGGCGTCGTCGTCGTCGTCGTCGTCGTCGTCGTCGTCGTCGTCGTCGTCGTCGTCGTTGTCGTCGGCTTTGGCGTCGGCGTCGACGTCGTCTGCGTCGGCGTCGGCGTCGGCGCCGTCGGCGTCGGCGTCGGCGTCGTCGTCGGCGTCGTCGGCGTCGGGTTTGGCGTCGTCGTCGGCGTCGGCGTGGACGTGGGCGGTGGTGTGGTCGGCGGCGTCGGTGTCGACGTCGGCGTCGGCGTCCGCATCCGCGTCGGCGTCGGCGTCGTCGGTGCCGCCGTCGGCGCCCCCAGGGCACGGCCCCTCCCAGGCGACGCCGTTACCTCGCCGCTGCCAGCGTCGTGGCCGCCGCCGCCGCCTCCGCCGCCGTCGTCGGCGGCGTCGTCGTCGTCGTCGTCGCCGTCACCGTCGTCATCGCCGTCGGCGTCGTCGTCGTCGTCGTCGTCGTCGCCGTCGCCTACGTCATCGTCGTCGTCGGCATCGGCGTCGGCGTCGGCGTCGGCGGCGGCGGCGTCGTCTTCAACGTCGGCGTCGGCGTCGTCGGCGTCGGCGTCGTCGTCGTCGCCGTCGGCGTCGTCGTCGGCGTCGGCGTCGTCGTCTTCGTTGTCGGCGTCGTCGAGGTCGTCGTCGTCGTTGTCGTCGTCGTCGGCGGCGTCGGCGTTTTTGGCGCCGGGGTCGTCGTCGGCGTCGGCGTCGGCGTCGGCGTCGGCGTCGTCGTCGTCGTCGTCGTCACTGACGTCGGCGTCGGCGTCGTCGGCGTCGGCGTCGGCGTCGGCGTCGGCGTAGGCGTCGCCGTCGGCGTAAGCGCCCCGAGGGCACGGCCCCTCCGCCGCCGCCGCAGCCGTGGTCGTCGTCGTTTTCGTCGTCGTCGTCGTCGTCGTCGGCGCCGTCGTCGTCGGCGCCGTCGTCGTCGTCGTCGTCGTCGTCGGCGCCGGCGTCGTCGGCGCCGTCGGCGTCGGCGTTGGCGTCGGGTCGTCGTCTTCGTCGTCGTTGTCGCCGTCGTCGTCGTTGGCGCCGTCGGCGGCGTCGGCGTCGGCTTCGTCGATGTGGTCGGCGGCGTCGGTGTCGACGTCGGCGTCGGCGTCGGCGTCGGCGTCGTCGTCAGCGTCGGCGTCGGCATGGGCGTTGGCGTGGGCCTGGGCGTGGATGTTGGCGTGGGCGTGGGCGTAGGCGTCGGTGTCGCCGTCGGCGGCGTCGTCGTCTTCGGCGCCGGCGTCGGCGTCGGCGTCGTCGTCAGCGTCGGCGTCGGCATGGGCGTGGGCGTGGGCGTGGGCGTGGGTGTTGGCGTGGGCGTGGGCGTAGGCATCGGTGTCGCCGTCGGCGGCGTCGTCGTCTTCGGCGCCGGCGTCGGCGTCGGCGTCGGCGTTGTCGTCGTCGTCGTCGTCGTCGTCGTCGTCGTCGTCGTCGTCGTCGTCGTCGTCGTGATCGTCGCGGCCGACGTCGTCGTCAGACTCGTCGTCGGCGTCGGCGTCGCCGACCTCTGGCCGAGGCGCCGGGCCATGCGCCCCCCGCGCCGCAACTGAGGCGGCCGCCCGCGGGGCGCGCCCTTCCCCGACTAGGCCATGGCGCTCCCCTCGGTCGCTGGGTGGGGGAGGGGGGGAAAAGCCCGCCACGCCCGAGCGAAGGGCCCTGGAGGGCGGTGCGTGGACGAGGTCGAGGGGGCATCCTCCTCCGCCTCCTCCTCCTCCTCGCGGAGGCCCCTCGCGGGAGGTGGAGGTGTGTGTGTGGATTGGGTTAGACACATCTCAGCGCAAAAGGCGAGGACGGCAAGAGATGAGGAAGCCACCGGGCCTCCAGCACCCCGCCTCGGCGGGGACTGAACACCCAGTGGCTGGACTCCAGCTCCCCCCGTCGAAGCGTGAGCAGCAACGTTCTCCAGGCCGCCGGCGAAGTCAGCAAGCGGCGCCAGCTGGGGGGGGGGATGGGGGGAGCGGGGGCAGGGGTGGGAAAGCAGATCGGGCGGAGCGCTGTGCGCAGTGGGCCGACCTTTTGGTCAGCGGCACGGCGGCGGGTGTCGCCGCGGCGGTGCAGCTTGCCTCCTTTGGGGTCGCGGCACGCCGAGGGGTTCTCTGGGCCGCTCCGATCGGCCTCTCGCCCGCGGGAGCTTTGGGCAGCTGGTGCTCGACAGCGCCGCCTCTGCAAGCCGTGGCAGTGGGGAGGCGCAGCAGGAGCAAAAGGAGGAGAGGGAGGGCGGGGAGCAAGAGGAGGAGAAGGAGGAGATGGAGGGGGAGGAGGAGGAGGAGGAGGAGGAGGAGGAGGAGGAGGAGGAGGAAAGGGAGGAGGACGAGGAGGAGGAGGCTAAGGAGGAGGAAGAGAGGCCGGGGGATTGTGGAGTACCTGTGGGTTTCAGACGATTTTTTACGATATTGCACGTTGCTCCTCATCATTATTATGATATTTCCTCTCTCGCTTTCTCTATCTCTCTCTCAATCTCTCCCACTCCCATTCCCATTCCCATTCCCAATACCACTACCATTACCATTCCCATCCCCATTCCCATTCCCATTCACATTACCATTACCAGTACCATTCCCTTTACATTTATCTTTACCTTTACCATTACCATTACCATGGCCATTACAATTGCCATTGTCATTGCCGTTGTCATTCCCATTGTCATTGCCATTGCCATTACCAGTGCCGTTGCCATTGCCTTTGCATTGCCATTGCCAGTCGCCACCCCTTTATCATTACCATTACCATTACTAGTACCATGACCATTAACATTACCATTACCACTGTCATTACCATTGCCATTGCCATTCCCATTACCATTAGCCACTACCATTACCATTGCCATTACCATTAGCATTACCAGCACCATTGCCATTGCCATTGCCATTGCCAGTGCCAGTGCCAGTGCCATTACCATTACCATTACCGCTGCCATTACCATTACAATTCCCATTCCCATCACTATTGCCATTACCATTACCGTTACCTGTACCATTTCCATTACCATTACCATTGCCATTATGATTACCACTACCACTCCCATTTCCATTCCCGTTCCAATTACCACTACAATTCCCATTCCCATTCCCATCCCCATTACCATTCACCATTACCATTACCATGACCATGACCATGACCATGACCATTACCATTACCATTGCCATGGCCATTGCCATTGCCATTGCCATTGCCGTTGCCATTCCCATTGCCATTGCCATTACCATTACCGTTGCCATCGCCATTGTCATTACCATTGCCAATCGCTACCCCGTTACCGTTGCCATAACCATTACCATTACCGTTACCGTCACCATTGCCATTCCCAGTACCATTACCGTTAGCACTGGCATTGCCATTACCATTACCATTGCCATTGCCATTGCCATTCGCCACTACCATTACCATTGCCATTCGCCACTACCATTACCAATACCATTACCGTTGCCATCGCCATTGTCATTGCCATTGCCAATCGCTACCCCGTTACCGTTGCCATAACCATTACCATTACCGTTACCGTCACCATTACCATTCCCAGTACCATTACCATTGGCATTGCCATTACCATTACCATTACAATTGCCATTGCCATGGCCATTGCCATTACCATTACAATTACCATTACCTTTACCTCTACCTTTACCTTTACCCTTGCCCTTACTATTCCCATTTCCGTTACCACTACCACTGCCATTTCCATTCCCATTCCCATTCCCATTCCCATTCCCATTCGCATTTCCATGCCCGTTCCCATTCCCATTCCCATTCCCATTCCCATTACCATTACCATTGCCATTGCCATTGCCATGGCCATTACCATTGCCATTCCCATTGTCATTGCCATTACCATTACCGTTGCCATTGTCATTGCCAATCGCTACCCCGTTACCACTATCATTACCGTTACCATTACCAGTACCATTATTGTTACCTCTGTCATTACCTTTACCATTTGCATTGCCATTGCCATTGCCATTAGCCACTGCCATTACCATTGCCAGTACCGTTACCATTGCCATTCCCATTCCCATGACCATTACCATTCTCATTCCATTACCATTACCATTACCTTAATCTCTACCTTTACCCTTACCCTTATCATTCCCATTTCCGTTACCACTACCACTACCACTTCCATTCCCGTTCCCGTCCCCATTACCATTCCCATTCACATTCCCATTCCCGTTCCCATTCCCACGACCATTGCCATTACCATTACACTTACCATTGCCGTTGTCGTTGCCATTAGCATTGCCATTGCCAGTCCCATTGCCATTGCCATTATTATTACCGTTGCCAATGTCATTGTCATTGCCATTACCAAGCGCTACCCCGTTACCATTACCATTACCAGTACAATTACCATTGCCAGTACCATTACCTCTGTCATTACCATTACCATTACCATTACCTTTACCTTTACCTTTGCCATTGCCATTGCCATTCGCCACTACCATTACCATTGCCAACACAAATTCCATTCCCGTTCCCATTCCCATTACCATTACAATTACCATTACCATTACCATTACCGCTGCCATTACCATTCGAATTCCCCTTCTCATTCCCATTCCCATTCCCAATGCCATTACCATTTCCCGTACCATTACCATTACCAATGCTATTGCCATTACCGCTACCACTAGCATTTCCATTCCCGTTCCCGTTCCCATTCCCACTCTCATTCCCATTCCCATTACCATTAGCAGTACCATTGCCACTGCCATTGCCATTGCCAGTACCATTACCTTTTACCTCTACCTTTACCTTTACCCTCACAATTACCATTACCATTGTCATGGCCATTACCATTGCCATTGCCAGTGCCATTCCCATTGCCATCGCCATTACCATTACCATTACCGTTGCCATTGTCATTGCCTCGCTACCCCGCTACCACTACCATCACCGTAACCATTGCCAGTACCATTACCACTGTCATTACCATTACCATCGCCATTGCCATTGCCATTCGAGGATTTCAGTAGGAATCATTCAGTGAGGGTTTCAATAGGAATCCACATGGAGGATTTCAGTAGGACTCATTCAGTGGAGGGTTTGGATAGGAACCTTTCTGTCGAGGATTTCACTGCGAATCCTTCTTATGGGGGCGTTCATTAGGAATCCTTCTAGGGGGGGAGGGCAGATGTGGCCACGTCGCATTCCTGTTTTTTTTTCTCCTGGCGCCCCCCCCATCCAACAAAAATCTGGGGGGAGGGCGCCATAATAAAAAAAGGCAGAGAGGTAGGAGGAGGGGGAGAGGGAGGAGGAGGAGGAGGAGGAATAAGGAGGAGGAGGAGGCGGAGGGGAGGAGGAGGAGGACGACACATTACCAAGCCTGCACAGAAACAGTCGCGAACTCAGCGTGAAAGCCTCGCGAGCGCGCTTTGGAACCACAGGGGCTCCACGATCCCCCGCTCTCGAGGGGGAGGAGGAGGAGGGGGGGGGGCGGGGGAGGAGGAGGAGGAGGAGGAGGGGGAGGAGGACGAGGAGGAGGAGGAGGAGGGAGGCGGCGGAGGAGGAAGAGAAGAGGAGGAGGAGAAGGAGGAGGAGGAGGAGGGAGGAGCAGAGGATTTTCCTTTGCCCCCCCCCCCCCCGAAAAAAAAGAAAAAACAAAAAAAAACGGCGGAGCCGCCCCGATTTTTTTTTGTTGTTTTCTTTTTTTCTTCGGGGGGGGGAGCACCAAAAACGAAAACTGTATTGTTTTCCGTACGGAGAGGAGGAGGAGGAGGAGGAGGAGGAGGAGGAGGAGGAGCAGGAGGACGAGGAGGAGGAGGAGGAGTAGGAGGAGGAGAGAGGAGGCCGCCACAGAGCACACATTGCATTGAACGACACACGCGCGAACTCAGTGTGAAAGCCTCGCGTTGGCGCCCGCGACGGCGAGGTACTCCACAATCCCCCGTTCTCGAGGAAGAGGAGGAGTAGGAGGAGGAGAGGAGGAGGAGGAGGAGGAGGAGGAGGAGGACAAGGAGAATGAGGAAAAGGAGGAGGAGGAGGAGGAGGAAGAGGAAAAGGAAAAGGAGGAGGAGGACGAGCTGCACGGAGGGGCGACGCGGGACTCCTGCGCCCGTTGGGCGCAGGCCTTCCCTGGCCAGGTCCGGCCGCGCGGCTGCGGGGGCGTGGAGGACGGCGAGAGCCAGCCCTTGCTGAAGCACAACGAAGATGAGGCCCGTCGGCCCCCCCAAAACAGCATGCCTTTCACGGTACGTATCAGACGAAGCCGGCATCTCGCCATGTGGGAAGCGGGTCCTTAGGGAAACGGGTCCTGAGGTCTTTCCCCTGTTTTCGGGCGCTCGTGGCCCTCCACGGGCCCCACGACTGTCAGGAAACGATTCGGGACGAAGAACTGGTCCTGGGGGGCGGCCCCGGGTTCCAGGACCCGGTTCCCTCAGGACCCGTTTCTCCATGCTAAGCGTCATGGCGCCAATATCGCAGAGCGGATTTCGTTTGGAAAACAATAGGATGGGCCCGGAGTGTCCTGGAGAATTTCGTTCTGGATTTCGAGGTGGATTTCGTGCGGATTTTTTGTTGGCCAGGAGTGAGGACAAAAAAACAAATCCACGCGAAGTTCACGTCATTTGTCGCTCGCCGCCTCAGGGCTGTGCACTGAGAGAGATCCGCGCAGAAGTCCGCTGCCGCACGTCTGCAAGGTCGGTGCAGTGAAAGCGTCGGGACAAAATCGGACCGGGATAGCTCGGGGATCCCTGAGATCCGGCGGTTCTGGAGGATGCCTCGGGACACGGCGGCGATGCCCGCGCGGGCACGCCGTGCTTGGCAGGTCCGCGCCGCCTCGAGGCGGCGGCAACTCTGGCGCGGGCGCTCCGGGTGGAACCATCCCCTTGGGGGGCTCATTCCAATTCCCTGGGCCCCCAAGAATATACACCACCACCACGTCGATTCTTCCTCCCTCCTCCACCCTCGTCTTCCTTTTCTCTGTCTTGGAAGAGGGAGGGGACCAGGGAGGTGGTGGTGGTGTACACCCTTGCGCCCCGTATACGGTGCCCAAAAGTGTACACCACCACCACCTCTCTCCCCCCCCCCCTCTCCCAGGGGAGGCAGGAGAGGAAGAGAGGAGGAATCGACGTGGTGGTGGTGGTGTATCTTCTCGGGGCCCGCGCATTCCAAGCTCCCCGGGCCCACGGGGGGCAGCCCGCGGCGCGAAGCATGTCCTGAAGCAGGGGGTCGAAAGCTCTTGGCGGACCTCCGAGAGCGGAGAGCTCGTTGCAGATGGCGCGGTTCGCGCGGCGTCGGGTCAGAGGCCAGGGCCCACGCCGTCACAGCACGAACCCTCGGCGCCCTCAAGGGCGCCCAGTTCTTCGCGCTCCGCGGCTCGGCTCCGATTCCTCCTCGTCCTCCGCTTGTCCCCCCGGGGGGTCGGCGCGAGAGCGCGAAGTGGTTCGTGCCTCGCGCTTCGCGAGGCGCGAAGCTGGGCGCCCTTGATGAATCTGCCCGAGGCAGAACGTGGTGTTCGAACCCGCCGCGGTGGTACAGCACGAACCCTTCCAAGACTACTCGCAGAGCCACGTTCGGAGGGCTCGTTGCACCGTCGGGGGTGTCTCAGACCCAGCCTCTCTAAGGTTAGGGCATCAAACGATCCACCGACTTGCCCAGCACGTGCCCGACGGAGAATTCTGGCTTCCCGGTCCGTTGGAGTTTTTGGGCGCCCTCGCATGCTCAATATGCCAGCTAGCACACCATCCCCACATTTCTTTCAATAAGGATACCTTACCGTGCGTATACGCAAGATGCAGTGTATGCACTATGCATCATTCGGTTCTGAGTGCGGGGGGGTCCTACCACAACGTGGATCAACATCGCCTCGTCGGTGCACCGCACCGTCTGCTGGAGCCGCTTCAGCGCGCGGCGATTGTCCGCGAAGGGGGTCGCTTTGCGAATGGCGGCGGGGTGCGTTGAGTGTTGTGTGTTGAGTGTGTGTGTATTGTGTGTTTGGTGTGTGTGTGTGTGTATGTGTGTGTTGCATTGTGTTGCGTGTTGAGTGCTGTGTGTTGTGCAGTGCGTGACCCTCTTCCCCTCCTCCCCACCCCCGCCTCTGCGGCCCCCCCTCCGTGTCACAGGGCTCCCCTGGCGCCCGTAAATGAGCACGGTGCCGTTGTCCCTTCTGCGGCCCGGCCTGCGAGGGCATCCTCCCGAAGGGATCCGTCCTCGCCGCCTCGGTCTGCCTGTGCAAGGCGGCCATAGGCGCGGGCGTCCTGTCCATCGCGGCCCGCTGCGCCGAGGCGCACGGGGCGGGAACTCTCCGGCGAACGCCCCCCATGGGAACAGGCAGGGCCGCCTACGATCTGGTCCGAGGCGATCCGATTCGCTGGCCGGGGCCGCGATTCCGACTCGATGCTCGATTCGGTTCGGCTCACCGGCATGGGCCAGGGCCAGCCGGAGCCGGGCGCGGCGGTCGGATCTCGGTTCAATTCGGTCGACTCGTTGGCGGTTCGATGCGCTTCCGACCCGATCCGATTTCGCGATTCGGTCCAGTGCAGGCCCGACAGGCTGCGAGCACAGCTTCGATCCTCGGCGGGCGCCAGCGGGGAGTCCGCAGAAGCCGGCGGAGGTAGACCATGGGCGGCTCCCCTGGTGAAGGATGTTCGGCGGAATTTAGGAACAGAACGACCACGTAAACAAGTTCTGCGTGGTTCTGCGAAAAGGCGCAGGCTGTGGTCTACTGATCGCGTGATTCACGCTGCCGCGTTGGCGCCCTTGGCGCATTTACCCCGTCCGTGCGCGCGTTTGAGCGGCATGAGGTATCGTCTGCGCGTCGCCGCGCGCGCCACTGTCGCCCTGCGCCTTTGTGTTCGAGCTGCGGTTTGCTGTTTGTTTGTTTTCGCCGGTGTCCGAAACCGGCGGAAACAAATAAATGCCCCAGTTCCCCCCCCCCAAGGAGATGTGTAAATCTTTTGGGTGTCCAGGTTGGCCGAAGCACTTGCCGGTGCCTGCCACATTGTTGCTCTGGGATCGGCGGTCACCGGGGCGTCGAGGGGATCGCGCCGACGATGACCAAGATGCCGCGGGGTCTTGTCGGCGTTGGCCCTTGGCGTGGTCCATGCCGACCACCGCCGATTCTCAAGGATGATCCACGGATCGACGCCGATCAACGACAGCCGCCGATTCGCGAGGACGATCCACGGAGTGACGCCGACCAAGCTGGACGACCAGCTCGGCACATCAGCAGAGTGAGAGAAGGCATCATCGTCATCATCACCAGCATCATCATCTTCGTCTTCTTCATCATCCTCAGCAGCGTCATCAGCATCACCATCTTCTTCATCATCATCAGCATCATCAGCATCATCAGCATCATCATCAACGTGCCGTCTTGCTCGTGGCCGCCTCCTTCTTTCCTACCCTCGTGCGCCGTGCGCCCCGCTCTCGCCGCCGTCGTCTGAGCCTGTTCAGGAGGGAAAGAAACACACAGACACAATGAATCCCCCATCCCCCAGAAGATATGGGAAAGTATGGGAAGTGGCGGGGGAGACAAAAAAGCCGAGAACATGTGAGAAAATGTGGGGCATGCTTTGATTATTGTGTGCATTTCTCTGTGTGTCCCAGGGCCCCTTCACCTGTGAGCCCCCCTCCAGGAAGAGGACAAATAGGGAGGAGGAGGAGGAGGAGGAGGAGGAGGAGGAGGAGGAGGAGGAGGAGGAGGAGGAGGAGGAGGAGGAGGGAGGAGGAGGGAGGAGGAGGAGGAGGAGGAGGAGGTGCCCCTGAAGAGGATGAGGAGGAAGAGGATTTCTTTGTGTGCGGCCCCCCGCGCGCGCGGCACGGCCAGCCCTGGGCGAGGGAGCCGGCGCGCGCCACGTCGGCCCCCGTCGGGAGCCTCGGGGCGGGGGCCCGTGCCAGCGGTCCAGGCAGTGGCGAAAAGCGTCCGGGCTCGCCTATGGTCAGGAGGGGAAGAAACACACAGACACAATTCATCGTCGATCTCCAGGAAAATGTGCGAAACTATGGGAAGTGGGGGGGAAGACAAAAACCCCGAAAATGTGGGAAAATATGGGGGATATTTTTATTTGTGTGTATTTATTTGTGTGTCCCAGTCATGGAATAATCAGAGCGTGAATTACCTACGGTAGGTTCGCGTCGTGTCGACTCGCGGCGACCCCAGCGCGGGCGTTCAAGGTTGAACGCCGCCGGCGACCCAGAATCGATCGATGTTGAGCGATTGGACGTTGCGGAGACGGCCGATCGTTCAAGGTTGAACGATCCCTGCGGTGTCAAAAACCAACGCTGGGGTCGGCACGACACGAACCCGCCGTACCCCGCTTTCGCTTCCAGGCAAAACCAAGCCACACCACGCGCCTCCTCGTCAAGCGGCCTGACCAGTACAGGCTGCCATTTGGCATCGTCTGGTATCTCTTGGAAGCGAGGGTGGTCAAAAGCGAGGTAGGTTTGTTTTCCCCCCTGAATAAGAACCTCGTTGTGGTTTCCACGAAAGGTTCTCCGAGCATTTCTGGCGGGGACGGTCTTGTTTTAACACCTCGGGCTCGTGTTCTAAGAAAGCTGCTTCTTTCTGTCCTTAGAACACTGCTGGGTTCTAAGAGCATGTCGTGGTAGGCCCATAGGAGTGCCGGGGCGGCCGGTCCCTGCTCAAAGCGGGGGGCAGCCAGGGCGCCCGATCCTGCAGGATCCTGCAAGGATCGGGCCGCATTGGCCCGGGCTTGGGCGCAGGATCCTGCAAAATCCTCCTCGTCCTCCTCCTCCTCCTCCTCCTCCTCCTCCTCCTCCTCCTCCTCCTCCCTGCAGGATCCTTGGCGTTGACCCGGGCTTGGGTGCAGGATCCCGCAGGATCTTGCGGGGCTCTGCGAGGCCTGGCTGGCCCGGGTCTGGGTCGGCCCGGGCCAGAAGATCCCCGCCCCCGCGCGGACGGGGCGCTTCTGTTCTCCTCGCGCGCGCGGCCTCCAGGCGTGATGGGCGTGTTTTCCACCACCACCACCATAAGTTGGAGGGGGGGGTCCTCCTCCTCCTCCTCCTCCTCCTCCTCCTCCTCCTTTTCCTCCTCGTCTTCGTCCTCCTCCTCCTCGCCCTCCTCCTCCTTTCCCCCCTCCAACTTATGGTGGTGGTGGTGGAAAACAGGCGCATCAAGGCGTTCCTCTCCCGGAGCGTGTGCTTCTGGACCCCTTGGCGTGCACTCGGCCCGTCGGGGCCGGACACGAAGCCATGCGCTGTGGACCTCTTGGGGTCTCCCGGGGGCCGGTTGTGGGCGTCCATGGGGGCGCCCTCGGGCTGTCAAGGGACTGCCTCCTCGGCCCCCCCAAGGGGGGCGTCCGGGGGCTCTTTCTTTTTTCGGGGGGAGCGGGCTCCAGGCTCCCGAGCTTTTTTCTGGGGATGGAGGGCAAAGGGTGAGATCTGAAATGCCGTTTCGATGGATTTCCAAGGCTCGAACCTGCAAGAAGTGAATCACAAGACGGATTGATTTTTTCGAGGTGCAAGAGCCCATGCGGATTTCACCCTGAGCCCTCCACCCTGAGAGAGAAGATGCTCAGAGACTCCCTCGAGAGAGGCTCTCTCGACCGAAGGTTCGGGTGTACGGCGAGGTGCTCCCGCCCCCCGTCTTCCCCCATCCCCTCTCCCGCCGCGGAGGGGGAGCGCCAGGCCTCCCCACAGAGGGGCGGCCGGGGAGGGCCGGGGGTCCGCACTGCGCGGTCTCGTCCCGAGCGCTGCCCTCCTCTCCGGTGGGGGCGGCGCGAGGGCGCGCAGACGACCGCGCTCCGCGCGTCTGCGCGGCGCGAGGCGCGCAGCCACGCGGACAACGGAGACAAGGAGAAGGGGGAGGAGGAGGAGGAGGAGGATGAGGAGGAGAAGGAGGAAGATGAGGAGGAAGATGAGGAGGAGGAGAAGGAGGAGGAGGATGAAGAGGAAGAGGAGGTGGCCCGTTGGGACGAGGACGGTCGTGCCAGGGAGGGGGAGGCGCATGCGTCGCTGTGGTCAGGTCGGGCATGTCCCTCTGCAGGAGGGGTGTTCAAACGTAGCTGTTATAAAAGTAGCCCGGGGGCGATGTTTCGATCATTCTCTGACCATGTGTAATCTGTCTTTGCCATGTTTCGTTTTTCCTCCAAAAAATCTGCCTGTAGGGGGACATGCCCGACCTAACGTTAAGACGAGGACGGTCGTGCCAGGGGGGGGTGGGGCATTCATCTTTATGGTTTTCCCAGCCGTCGAGGTGGGCTTCACGTTCCTGCTGGTGGCGCTCGCGGCGGGGGGCGTGCTGACGGTGGTCAGCATCCGCATGATCGGAGAGGCCAGCATCGCGACGGGCCGTTGGAGCTTCGAGGACATCAGCGACGAGCTCTTCCACCCTGCCGTTGCCGTCGTCACGGGGCTGATCCAGAGTGCCAACTGTATCGGGGCGGCCGCTGCATATCTCATCATCTGCGGGCAGATCTTTCAGGTTCAGGAGGGAAACACATACAGACACAAGTAATCGTCGATTCTCTGGAAGAGATGGGGACATATGGGAAGTGGGGGGGAAGACGAAAACCCAGAACAGATGGGAAAATGTTGGGAATCCTGGGATTTGTGTGTGTGTACTCATTTGTGTGTCCCTGGGCCCCTTGGCAGGTGCTCACTGGCGCGGGCGATGAGCTGCTCGCTCCCTTCGTAGTGGCCTGCGGGGTGTTCATCTGTCTGCCCATGGCTCTGGCGCGCCACTTGAACTTCCTGAGGTTTACCAGTTTGAAACATATCCCTATCCCTATGTTTGGCGTCACCTTACCTCGATACCGATCTTAAGGACTCCCTCAGTCTCTGAGGGGCTATCCCGAAGATCATCTTGCTTGTCCATCTCAGGGACAGGGATCAGTTCGAGACTGGTTAGAGGTACGTGTCCGTCCTGAGTGTGGCAGGGCTCGTGTTTCTGGTCGGGGCCGTCGCGTACATACTCCTGCGCCGCGGGCGTGATGACACAGTCAGCGCCAGCACGATCTCACACGGGGACGGGCGAGCCGACCTGTTCGTCCACATGAACTGTCTGAATTTGGTGGTGTTCGCATACAACAACCAGTTCAACGTCCCGCAACTCACGGGTGAGCTTCGCCCGCTGGGCAAAGAGCAGGTCTCGAAAATGGCCAATCTCTCCACAGTGTCCGTATTCGTCCTGTACGTGGCCGTTGCATTGCTGGGTCTGCTCGCCTTCGGGGTTGGGGACAGGCAGCTAGACACGCTCGTGCTCGACATGAGGCCACATGCGGGAAGCCCGGTGGTTGCCGCGGCCTTGGTGATGGTGATGTTCAGCACCCTGATGTGCTTCGAGTTTCACATCTATCCCATCCGGCAGTTCCTGGCATACACCGTCAGGAAGGTCCGCGGGCGTCAGGCTGGGGACGAAGCTTTGGACGAGCAGATCTGGAGCGTCTCCGTGACGAGGTGGATCGACGTCGTGTGTGCTGTGGGAGTTGTTGCGTTTTCGATCGTGATCGCGGTGCATCTCAAGAGGGTGAGGCTAATCTTAGACTTTGTCGGCGCTTTCGCGGGCGCGTATACGTCCTACGTGATCCCACCGTTGTGGATCTTGAGGCTCCGCTGCCGGCAAGCCTCCGATGCCGCGGGCGTCAGCCCGTACGATTCTGCCAGCCTCTGCTGGGCCGTCTTGGCCATCGGCGTGTTCCTGTTCTTCTTCGGGACGTATGCTGCCATCTGCTGCTCAGAACCTAGATGACCAGCCAGTGCTCGGCGGCCAGCGAGGGGGGGAAGTGAGAGGGAGACGGCCTTCTCAGAACGCGGCTGGACTTCTCAGAAGCCCTCGCGCCTCCTGAGAAGTTTTTTTTCGGCGAAGGCTTAGAAAGCTTCTCAGAAGGCTGGGGGTTTTCTGAACCTTCTGAGAAAGCCCGCCCTTTGTCACTTCCCTTATGCCGGGCCTGTCCCTCTACAGAAGGAATATTCAAAAACAGGAAAGTTACTCAGGCGACGATTTGTTTTGACTATGTTAGGGTACTTGGGGACATTTTTTTACTATGTCTTTCCGTCCGAAATCCGCCTGAAGGAGGACACGCCCGACCTAACACTTCCCCTCCTCGCTCGCCGCCGAAGTGCAGCCTGGCAACTTCCCTAGGGGACAGCACTGACGCGGGCGAACGTTCGAGCGCAAACAAACACTTGCAGAGCGTGCGCGTGTCCTCTCTGGGGTGTACGTGTGCTGTTCCTCAGAGGTTTGTTTGTCCCACTATTACTTTAAACGAGTTGCGAGCACAACGAAAACCGGAGATGCGAGCGCAGTGACGCGCGCGGTCGCGCGCGACCCGCCGCTGGTAATGACGTGAATGTGTGGGCGTCGCGGCGACGACGACGGCGACGGCGACGACGACGGCGGCGCCTGCGCCGACAGCGGCGACGACGGTGGCAACGGCGACGGCGGCGACGACGGACATCGCGGCGACGGCGGCGACGGGGCCCGGACCCACGGGCGGACTTGCGCCCCGCCCTCGCTCCTGGAGACCCGGGCCAGATCTTATGGAAGGTGCAGAATTTCTGCGCGCAATTTACCCCAGTCGTTCATCCGCTTTACTAGAGTTCTCTTTTCGCTGTAATAGAACGTCGTTTTGTTTCCGAACGTATCGAGCGGCGCGCCTTGACTAAAGCCGTTGCTTCGGTTTAGTAAAGCCGTTTCTTCGCTTTAGTAAAGCCGCATCCTCGCTTTAGTAAAGCCGTTGCTTCGCTTAGTGAAGTCCGCGGTCTGCCTTCATAAAGCCCTGGGGATGCGGCTGTGATGCAAGACTAGGGCCCTGTCGGGGGCCGGTGGCCCCATGTTTTCCCTGCAGGTTCACCCCGCGATGCATTTGCTCGAGTAATCAGGGTCGCGTTACATGGGGTTGCAGCGGCCCCTGCACATGTTGACAGCGAGTTGTAGATGCTCCTTGACAGAACATTCCGGGCGCGAGCGCAGGACGTGGCTCGGCAATTCGGACGCGCCGCCGCGGCTGTCGCGCAACAGAGCAGAAACATTGTACAAAGAGGCTTGTTTCCTTCATAAAGCAGGTTCTTTGAAGTAATAGTGTGCATTTACCTTCTTAGTCCCTGCAGTGGGGATGCGCATCAAGAAACCGCTTGCTTTTCGTCTGGGTACCCTTCAGTCGGGCGTGTCCTTCTACAGGAGGAATAGTCAAAAATGCGCCAACAACAATCTGGGTCTATATTTGGATTAGTATGTGTATATATATATATATATGGTATCCTTTAAAGGGGGCCCATGCGGCTCCCAGACCCCAGGAAGCGCTCGCCATTTAAACCACGTTTAAACCCGTATTCACTTTGGCTTAGGTCCCTCTGGGGCAGGAGCAGCGGGGGACCACGGCGAGGTCCCCCGCGTTTCTCGCGGCCAGCCACGCCCCCTTTCCGCTGGTCGCAGACGCGCGCGCGGGCAACGCCTTCCCGGCACCGCGCGGAGCCTCGTGTGGATGGCGCCGTGAGGCACCAGCGGCAGATGCGACCCCGATGGCCCCGATGGCCATGCCCTCGAGGCGCATGGTTCGACGGGAGGTCGAACGGCAAGCTGCCGGGCGTTGGGAGGTTTGCCGCCGGGGGATCACCTGGAGGTGAAGGTCCGCGACTACGAGGGGCGTGACCAGGGCCGCGAGCTGCTGCGCGTGGGGGTCGCCTACGCGCTGGGCGAGGCCGACGCGAAGGCGGCGTGTGCGGCCGACCGCTCCCTGCGGGCGCAGCACGTGGGGGCCACCGACGGGCACTTCAGCTGGCGCGCCCAGGCCGAAGCCAAGGCCGGCGGGAGGCTCGGCACGATGTACCACCTCTGCGGCTGCGTGCAGGAGGAGTGCGCGGCAGGCTGCCCGAGCGGCACTGGAGGAGTCGAGCACGTCGATGTCCGTCGGCTGGCCGACCCACGCGATCAGGAGACATCGGAGGCGGAGTGCCACATAGCCCCGCGGCCTGTTGGAGGGCAGCACGTCGAGTCTGCATCCTGGCCGACGCCTGGTGCAAGCCTGGCTGAGCCAGGCGACGATGGCGCCGCGCGGCATCCTGCTCTGCCGCCTGCGCCGCTGCCGCCGCTGCCGGAGCCCCCGCCCCCAGGGACAGGGGGCCGAGGGCGACGGAGGCGAGCCAGCAGCCAAGCGGGCCCGCGGGAAGGAGGGGAGTGCCGCTCAAGGTGGTGCAGCGCCGCTCGGCGAGAGCCCGCTCGACGCGGAGGTCGCTGGGCTGGGGGGGGCGCTCGAGGGCCCTGCCCTGGGCGGGCGCCTTGCCCAGCTGGGCCAGCGGCTGCGAGGAGGTTCGGGCGGCGGCTCTGGATCCAGAGCGGTCGCTATGAATGCTGCCGTGCCTGGGGCTGCTCGGGCGCTGGCGCAGCGCGCGCAGGACAACGCTGCTGCGGGGGGTCGAGCTCGAGTCGCGGCAGCGCCTGCTTGATGCGAGAGGCTCGCCGAGATGCTGACGGCGGCGTTGCTCGGCGGCAAGGATGGCGGCGACCTCAGCGACGAGGGCTCTGGCGCGCTGGGTCGGGGCACTTACCAGGGGGCCAACGACCGGCGCGACTTGTTCCAGAGGATCGCAAAGCAGCGGCCTGGGGTCCTCCTGGAGAATGGGCCGGCGCACCTCAGGAGCCAGTGTACTCAGCTGCTCGCGGACCCGAGCCAGGCAGACCCCTTCGGCCTCAACGCGGTGTTCTTCGTGGCGCACCTGCAGCGGACGTTCGACTCGGTCGACGTGCGAGTGCTGCGCGCGCTGGGCGAGGCGATCGACGGCTTCCTCCGCGGGCTGGTCGACGAGGTCAGCGGTTTGCCCGTGCAGGAGTTCAAGGCCAGGACGATGGCGCTTCGAGACGGCCATTGGCGCAGTGTCAGGTGGCCCACGCCGATCCCCAGCGACAGTCTGCCCGCCGGCGCGTCCCGCGGCGAGGAGGCTGCAGCCGAGCGGGTAGAGGCACGCGAGATGAAGGTCGGCGAGCTGAAGCGCCGCCTCGTCGGCAAGAGAGGGCTCCTGTCGGGCTGGGGGTTTGGCCAGGAGCCCTCTCCGGCCCGGGGGGGGGGCCGCTCCTGCTGGCCACAGTCTCGCGGAGGCGAGACCACAAACCCCGTCGGTGACGCCCGCGGCGGGCTCTGCTGCAGCGCTGTGGAGCTGGGCGAGCCGCTCGCCAGTGGAAGTCAGCGGCGCGGTGCCAGCCCAGCAGGCAGCCCGCCCCCGATCGGCGCCAGGATCGCCTGAGTTCAGCGGGGGCCCTGCAGAAGCGGTAGCAGCAGCAGCAGCGCAGAGGGGGCTACCTCCAGAGCTGGCAGCCTTCGCGGACGAGAGCCCCGACAGCACGCCAGCCGATCCTCGCGCTCAGCTCGCGTGGAAGGAGTCGAAGGTCGCGGTCCTCCGCTGCCCCGCCGAGAGTCGACGCGACTGGAAGTCGCGCCTGATCGTCTCAAAGGTGGCTCGGCGGGGCGGGCCAAGAGGAGCGGCATCTGCCAGTCGCGGACGCGGAGCAGCTCCAGGCCGCGGGCGCGGCGCGACCCAGGCCAGGGTGGTGAGGCAGCCCTGAGTGCAGGAGAGGCGCTGAGCGCCAGCCAGGCATGCCAGAGCCTGGCGGTTGCTGCTGGCGGCCGCGCGGGTGCTGCAGGCGCGCGCGAGGAGCAGCGCAGGCGAGGACCTGCGCAGTGCCACCGCTGGGGGAAGCTGCTCGCCAGTGCCGGGAGGCCAGGTGGGCGACCACGGTTCGAGAGAGGCAGTGCACGGTGCGCCAGGAGACGTCAGGAGGTTTGATCGTAGCGCTCCGCCAGTACAGCGAGCGCGCCGCGCGCGGAGGCGCGAGGTGTTGCCGCTTCCTATTCCTGACGCTCCTGGGTTCATGAGGAGCCGCGCAGAGTGGCTGAACCATGGCACGGTCCCCGAGGCTGGACTGGATGCTGCAATCGCTGAGGGCTGGGCAGTACTGGTTGTGCTCTCTCTGAACCACCGACATGCTGGACATGCTAAGGGCAGCCCAGTCCCCACAGGTTCTCTTACGGCCGCACAGGAGAGCTCGATGCGCGTCATTCGTAAGGCTGCCAGGCATTTCACTTCAGACTCCGCGGAGGACTTCCATGACCCAGACTGGCATGAGGTCGTTGCTGCACGTGATGTCACGTATGAAGGCGAGGAGGTATCGCGGGCCCAGCCGCTCACGCTGGGAGGCGTCATGCCAGGCCGCCCGCCAGTGCGCTGGACGTCGCCGACGAGCGTGCGGCTGGGCGGCTTGCTGATCCCACGTTGGCGCTGCCGCCCAAGGCCGAGTGGCCGGAGGAGGTCCCGCGGGCTGCTATCCAGGCGAGCTCGAAGGCGGAGTGGCATCGCATTGGCGCCAATTTTGTGGAGCTAGGCCTCGCGGTGCCCATCGCCGACGATCGGACCTTTTAGGGGGGCAACAGGAAGGTGGCGCAGCGGCTCATCATCAACAGGGTCCCCGCGAACAGCTACCAGCGGACGATGCGGGGCGACGTCGGAACCCTTAGCACCTCGCCGTCGTGGGTCCCGTTTCCACTTCCTGAAGGGCATGGGCTGCTGCGGTCATCCAACGACCAAGTGTCTGCGCTCTACTGCTACGAGTTGCCCGAGGCCTGGCAGCCCTACATGGCCCTAGCTGAGGCGATCACTAACGAGCTCATCGGAGTCAGCGGGGCAGGGAGGTCGCACATCGTCCTGCGCGTCATTTCGATGGGCTGAATAAGTGCGGTCACAGTCTTCCAACACTGC